GCCAGAGCTCTTGAATTCCAATCCTATGTTAAGTCCAGCACAGAGGTAACAAGGTTGGTCAGAAAAGGGCAGCTTTCAGAGAAGTTTGAGTGACTTTGCTAGCACTGTAACAAACCTGGGCACAAGAGAGCTCAATGCCGGCAACTTCAACACAGGGAAGATGCCACGACAGGAAAGGCTGCTACCTGGAAAGGTTGTTGGAACTGTGGAGAGCAAGGACGTATGCAAAGCCAGTGTAAGAAGAATACCACCAATAAGTCAGCTTCGGGAAACCAGTAATGGTTGGTGCTGAGGGATGCCCACCAAACCCCATCGTGAAAGTCCCAACAGCTAAGTGTAAAATGGCAAGCATTCATAGTGTCTACATGACAGGAAAGTTAGATGGCCAAAAGTGCAACTTTGTCATAGATTCTGCATCTCAGCAAACCATTGTGAGTATCAAGGTGCCAGATCACAAAGGAGTACCAGAAGCCATACAGAACCTATGTGGTGTGACAGGACATTATAGAAGGTTATGGGGACCAGTGTGGGTAACTATTGAACACATGGGCATAAAGGACAAACACGAAGTATACTTGGCTGACATTGAAGACCCATGCATATTAGGGTTGGACTACTTACTACTAAGGAAGTATATAGTTAACTTTGATAAAATGACGTTTGGGAACAACGAAGGCCAAATACCAGTAAGTGTTAAAAGAGAGGTTGGACTAACCAGGTGCCATCAAGCTGAAGTCAAAGTGACTGAAGAAGTTGATGATGATGAAGTGGAACCAAATATAGATATCAAAGCAGAACAGGAGAAAGACCAAGATTTGAAGCCAATGATTGATTTTCTAAAGGCAAGTGTTTTGCGCCCTGCTTGGGAGAAGGTGCCTAGTCTAAGTCCTGTGACAAAGCACTATTGGGCACAATTGGACCAGTTGAAGCTTGAAAATGGTATTCTTGTCCGGAGATGGGAAACTACAGATGGGAAAGTGACGACTTGGCAAACAGTTATACCAAGGAAGTTACGGGAAGTTATGTTGCATCA